CCTTCCCCCTCTCCCGGGGACCCCTTCCCCCACCAGCCCCACTCCCTGGAGCCTGTTACCGACACACCGCACCAGAATCTCCCACTGAGGAAGACACACTCTGACCTCGACACAACCTTACCTGCAGGTGTGTGTGACCATAACAGGGAGCTCTTTACTCTCCCTCCATGGTGCAGATCTTATTACTCCTCACATAAAGTGTGCCGCACCTTCAAAGACAAGAGAAAGAGAGAGAAAAGAAAGAATCTGGGAATGTCAGAATGAAATTCCTATACTCGTGAACTTCTCGTATTTCAGATAAAACTCTAGTATTGCTGTTAGTAGCACTGAACAGTTCTTGCCTGTGGAAAGACTATCATTTGATTGATTCAATGTATGCAATAGCAGGACATTTTCTTTTGTTTGAATTATGTTTTTCGTTCAACAAACATGACAAATGTGTGTTTATTTTGTCATTGATTATGGATTTACATACAGTTTTAAAAGAAAAATGTTCTCCTTTCTTGTTAAGGCATAGTCACAGAGGCCTGGAGACAGGCTGGCCCTTGACAAACTCAGCAAAAGCAAAAACCTGGACTGCCCGACTGGTTAGTGAGTGGTTGCTGGGTTTTTTGAGGTGAAACTGGTTGTAAAAACCTCCTTGTGATTGCTTCGGTTGCTAGCAGTTGCTACTGTTGCCCATAGTTTACATGGAAGACACAAACTTGTTTGCAGATATTAACCCTTTAAAACTGGTCAGAGCGGGCACGCTCCATTTTGTGTAACTATTTTTAAATCCCTGTAGAACCGAAACCATGTAAGCTAGCGCAATAATTTGTTTTGCATATGAAACCGGAGGAGTTGTACTTACATCTTATGCCATCAACTTGCCCTAGGTCACGTTTTTCTTCCACATATAGCTTTGCAAAAATTGCATAAAAAGCACTTGCAGCAACAAAAACATAATATTCCAGAAACACGCTTTGCCGATCCGATCAGTTGTTCAAAACACGTTGGAATAGACATCAGCGGGAACTATCAAATGCCCCCCATTACTTGCCCGAAACCGGAAGTGATGTCATTTTTGCGGAAAATGTAGTTTTTTACCTTCGGGGCCTTATAAGCCTATACTGGTATTTTTAAGAGTCATGTTGACTTTATGCTTTTCTGAATAGTTTCTGGGATGCTTAGAACTCAAACTGCACTAATTTAAATAGTTTATTTTGATGCACATGTTTTTTTCTTTGCAAATTTGCACTATAATATTTATTTTCGTTTTTCCTGTAGTATATAAAAATTGGTGTATCTCAAAAATAAAATTATGAAGACACTCAAAATAATTCCTGTTGTTGGAAGCTTTTTTGTGCAACTTTTTTGTATTTACAGTTTTGAGGGATAAACCTCTTAAAATTCTCTAACTAGAAATGTAGAAAACCAAAAATGATTTTAAATTTTTTTTGTAGTTTATTGCACTTTTTTGCAATTTATGTAGTTACTACGGACTTAATGCATACATATTATTAAAATTTGGGCTATAACAGTTGTATTGATGTATAGCAACTTGAAACGCCCCCAAAAATGGCACTACAGCATGTACAAATATAAAGATAAGCTCTGGCAGACTTGGTTCTATGGTCGGTCTTAAAGGGTTAATGATTTGCTCCCTGAGCTGTAGTGAAAGTTGAAAATTGTGATGTAAATGGTGAATGGAGAAGGTTCTTCTATGAAGGTGGACAGTCTTCATTTCAGTTTCACTTCAACTTGCAGAACTAAGTGAAACCGCTTCCACCAGCTAGCAACCAAAGCAATCAGAAAGAGTTTTTTTGCAAGTCAGTTGCAAAAAGTATAAGTATACGTACGTATCGGTAACGCACAAATTACGTTGCTTATGGTTTTTTTATGGAACGGTGCACAAACAACATTACAACGTTTCTTAACAACACGTAAAAATATATACCGTATATTTACTACTTATCTATTTTAATGTACTATTAGGCCTATGTAACAAATTAAGGGGAAAAAAACTGACCCCTCAATCCCTACAGTGTGTGAATCTGGTGGGTCTGTTGCTGTGAAGGGGCATTTGGTTGGCATGATATGGTAACCTGTCACACCAGATAACTTGTTACAGAACCATCTGTGAAGCCATACTTGCAAAATGGCACGCTTTGAAAGAACCATCTGTCTATTAACTTCAGCCAGTCAGTTGAGAAATCAAACTCTTGCCAAATCCAGTCAAGTGAAGATGAAAAACACCTTTGCACATCAGAGAGTGAAGAAATGCTCTCAACTTTTCAGTTCTATAAGTTATGATTTAGCATTTAATCTCGAGGAACAGCTAAAACATGTCCATAGATGCTTATTTGTTCTGTGGTTATACCACAGCATATAGCTTAAAGCATGGAATATTGGATTCTGATCAAGTTCTGGTGTGATTCTATCTCACTTGCAAAAAATAATGTTTTTGATCCGCTTTCCCTCCTTAGAAGGAAAGGTCAGATAAGTTTATATATGTTTTTCTTTTTAATATGTTACCTTGTATGTATCTTTTAAGCATGGAGCTTTATTAGGCAGGAAAGTATGTCTGTGAAGGTGCTTGGTCATCTAGGTCATCGTAGTGTAAGGAGCATGAAAAAGAAAAAAAGAGTCTGAAAGAAAGAACTTCTAAGAAAGAACTTCTTTCTTAGAAGTTCTTTCTTTCAGACTTTCAAAGAAAGTCTGAAACTTCTTTTGTTCAAAGAAGAAAACTGGTGGAGAATCCCAGATTTTAAGCCCTATGGGAGTGTCTCCAAGAGGGTCGTGGACTCCCTATTGATCCTCTACCTAATCACACAAGCCCGTGTGAAAATGGGTGTGGGTCACAATCAGCCGAGGTTTCGGGTAAACCCATTGCAAAACCTAGCCCCACCCTATCATGTGATATCCTGAGGTCAAATGGCCCAAGTGTCTGGGAGCGGATCTCAAAACTGGATTATAGATGGCAGACAGTTGGTGTTGTAAGTCATCCCTTCTGTTCAAAGATGGTAGTTCACAGTGGACATAGATGGCTTCTTTCACTCCTGTTTCAAACCATCTGTCTTCTGTGTCCAAAATGTTAACATTGGCATCCTCGAAAGAGTGACCTTTGTCCTTTAGATGCAGATGGACACCTAAGTCTTGTCCTGTCGAGATGGCTATTCTCGTCAGGCAGTAAACAAATGATACACACTGTGTATGGACTAATGCCAGAGGCTACAGATGTCAAGGCAGGTTGTGCCTTTTCTGCTCAGAATAGTTTTCTGAATGGGTAGAGCTAGAGATAGATATGTGACGTGTAGAAGTTTTTATTATAACCTTTTATTTTAGAGTGTCCACAGTCAGTGGAATTTGGTGTGATTAGTTTTGTTGTATTGATTCTTTCCCTCTCTTCTCTACAGACAACCGTTTGGGGCTGCCTGCCCCAGATCACCTTCACCCAGAAACTATGGACCATTCTGGGCTGCTCTGCTCAAATACACCCACCGCTTCCTGGAACGGACCCAAGGGTTCCACCTTTTCTCCTGGAGCGTGGAACGAGCCTTACAATTACAGTAAGAACAAAGGACCAGCGGTACCACCCAAACAGCACAGTATTATCGGAGGAGGGACCCAGGAGGGGGTGATGCTGGTGAGCTCAGGACATTCAAGCTCATTCAAGACTGTGACAGACCCTTCTCGGAGACCATTGAATAACATGGACATAGGGAAGCGGAGTGAGACAGAGGGGGCTGCAGTCGATGGAGGAAGAGGGGGAGGAGGAGGGGAAGCAGTGCGAGGACGGGAGAGGTCGGCACGTTCCATAGCAGCACAGAATGCTTTCAAGTTTCGAGAGCGTTCCCTTTCCACACCCACAGATTCTGGATCTTTTTGTTTCACAGAGGGTGTTATAGGCCATCCGGATGGTAATATAACATCTACAGGAAATGGGAATACTATGGACCACCAACAAGAGCATCACAACTTCCTTGGCTTAGGTGAGAATTATGCCCTTCTCTACCCTAGAGGGAGCTCAGAGGACAGCGCAAGTACGACTGACACAATCTCCGTCACAGCTTCAGACTACAGCACAGAAGGCCGTTTGCGCCTACGTTCCCGCTCCATCTCCCTTAAAAAATCCAAACGAAAGCCACCACCCCCTGTGAGGAGTGTCTCTCTTATGAAAAACCTTGGAGAAGCTGAGGGCAGAATACACCATCAAGGTGGTCTTTACAGAGATGGCCGACCAAAGAGCCTGCACATCCCCAGGGATCACTTCCCTGACTTTCAGCCAGATTTCCTTCTGCCCAACTTGTCTAAAACCAGTATTGGTGAGCGAGAGCCAGGCCAAGGAGGGAATGACAGACCTCCAAGTCTAGAGGTTCAGGCCCCAGAGAGGGAGGGGGAGACAGAAATTACTTTTCCCACGCACTGGCAGCTAGGGGAGTGGAAGAGCAATGATCCATACAGGTACAAAAATACACATGGATGTTTAGTACTTGTGCTACAAAGTTATTATTATTGTGTCATCTTTATTATGTCTTCTCACATCATTTCATAGGTATCCTGGATGTTTTGTTGTCAAACGTGTTTGGCAAACTTTGATTTGGCAAAAAAACTTCACATCTCTTCTTTGCTCTTCCTCAGGTCTCTGTCAGGCTCGAGCACAGCAACAGGTACCACAGTGATCGAATGTATGAAAGTCAGAGGTAGCTCAGAGTCCCTTCTTGACTCTCCCTCCACCTCGAGAGCCACATCACCCTCACAGCTTTCCATGGAGACTGACATCAAGGCATCATCCCCCTTCAAACCTCCAGGACTTATGTCCCCATCAAGTGGCTATTCCAGCCAGTCAGAGACTCCCACCCCAACTGTTCCACTCAGTCATCTGGCAGGTCAGGGGACTGTGGGTACAACAGGTACAACAGGTTGTAAGATGCGCCCCAAAATCCCAGAGAGGAAATCATCTCTACCATCACCCAAGGATCCAGCTGCTAGGTCTAGACTGTCCTTTGAAATGCCTGGGAATGCACATCTGGAGCTTTCGTCCATCAAGCCAAAACAAAAGGCCAGCCGGCGGCATTCTGACACTTCGACAGCAGCAAAGCCAGGAAAGATCAGCCCGAGTTCCTCACAGGCACTGCCTATGGTTACCCAGAATGAGCTAAAGACTGTTCGGCTTCGTTCAGTTTCTCGTGGAGACCTAGAAGACTGCCCTGATGGAGCCTCTGACACCATCGAAGAGGAACAGCATGGCCGCGACATAGGCGAGGATCCCAGCCCACCACCCACTCTACCAAAACCTAAACCACCTGTTGCAGTCAAGCCTCCCTTACCTAAACGGCCAATGAACCTTCTTTTCAAGTCTCCTTCTCCTTCCTCCACTTCCCCTCTGGCGCTTGACTCGCCTCCTGCCTCACCTGTAGACCGACCTGTGCCTCTAGGCAACATCTACAAAGTCATGAAAAAGCCAAAACCCAAAAAACCTCCACCACAAGCTCCAACAAATCCCACTATTCTGTCAGATTCAAACTCTATGAGTGCTCCACAAACTGCCTATGATAAATCGTTCCTCCCCCTATCCCAGTCCCTGTTTGATCTCCCTCCTCTCCCAGACCCTCAGCCTCTCCTGGAAGACCCAGTTTTGGAGCCTGAATTTGATGTTGACCAAGAGATTCGTCTTGGCCCCGAAGATGGAGGCTCACTCCCTTCACCTTGCAGCAATCAGGAAGCCCCAGAACTTCAGGACAAGAGCAAGACGCTACCCTCAAGGATGACAGTCTCCTGTCTGGCAGAGCTGTCAGACAAAAAGAAACCCAAGGTAACCAAATTAAATATATTGTTCTTTTACACGAGTATTCTCATGGTTAAACATCGATTATCTTCTAAAGGCAAACAATTTAAAAAAACATATTCACAGTTCACAACTCTCCTTATTTTTTCATTCTTTGAAACCTTCTCAATCCTTTCCAGGTTCCACCTCCAGTTCCCAAGAAGCCAAATGTTCTGCTTCTCCCCACGTCAGTCCACTCCTCCACTAATGGCAGCACAGACCGTCAGACGCCACAGACTGACAGCCCCGTGCGTCTTCGGTCTCCGGTAGGAACATTCCCACCAGACGATATTCTCAATGCTCCCAGTGTTCCCGACATGCCTGAGCAAGATGAGAACCACTTGGGAACAGATGAAGAAAGTTCCAAAGAGTCATCACTACAATCCTCTCTTCAAGATTCCTCTCTCACAGAGCTGGAAGGGAAGATGGCTGGTACTGGAATTGGGACAGGTATGCCTTGATGGGTCCACTTTATTAAGCTTTAAAAGTTGGTTTTCACTGAATAAGACCCATAAGACCAGATAAAAGGGCTTTTATGTATCAATTTATTTTTTTAAAGATGAGACACTACACACTACATGTAAAAACATTTTTGGCCTATTTTACTTCAATAAGATTTCTTCTGTCAGACTGCTGGAAAGAAACCACTGAAAATGTGTTTTTCTACTTAACATTTATACAAAGCTGTTCGTGTTTAATCCAAGACTTACATCATTTGCACATTTTAATGCAATAGTCTAAAAACTTTTAAAACAAAAGCACCATTTTTTAAATATTGTCTCTTTTTCAATAACTGACTGAGGAAGTGTCATTGTGATATAGGTTACATTTTAATAATTGTTTTAATATTGTAAAATTTTACATTACACACACATACTTACAAGTTCTAGTTTGACTCCCTTTTATAGTTTGACAGAGGGATTTGTTTATATACCATCCAGAGCCTGATTTGTAGAAAAAATGGAAAAAGAAAATATCTTTGTGTAAAAAATTTACTTGGACAGTTTGATGGACACATGTCAAAGTTAAGTAGTTATTTTCCCTTGGTTGTCCACACGCCTCCTGCAGTCCCTCTATTCTCCACCAGTGGTCCCTGTCCTACAGAATCACCACATCAGGGTAGGGGTAGTTGTACATTCATTCAATGATGAAATACAAAAATATAAATCTTGAACTGGAGTTTTCTGGCCTTCTAATCGTTTTTAATTAAAAACATCCCAACACAAATGTCGAATTTTCTAACATATATTATCTAATAGTTTGCTTTTAGTCTTGTTTCACTGCAGACATTGTTTCTTGTGATTTTTTATGTGCTTGTGTTGGTGATAATAGTCTAGCAGAGCTATACATTTGATTAGGACTCATACCTGTTAATTTTGATACATACCCTCCTGATTCTGCTTTGTTTTGATACAGGCCCATTGCTCTAAAATGAGCCCAAATCAAAACACAGAGTGGTTCACACTGTTTTTAACAGTGAAGATGACATATCTTCACTGTTGATATCATATCTTATCATCATTATTTCATTACCACCTAATTTTCTCTGTAGCTGAATCAGATTTACATATGTGTTTGCACAAAGCCAGCTGATATACACCTATCAGCTGCTTTATTAGGTACACCTACATATAGTAGTGCCCTTTACCTTCAGCGCTGCCTTAATTTAACAAGGTGCTGAATACATTCCTCAGAGATTTTGGTCCTTGTTGATATTATAGCATCACAGATTTGCTACAGATTTGTAAGCTACACATGCATGATGTGAATCTCCCATTACACCACGTCCCAAAGGTCATCTGTAGCTTACAGTGGAAGCCAATTTGAGTATAGTGAACTCATTTTCATGTTCAAGAAACCAGTTTGCAATGATTTGCACTTTGTGATATTGTGTGTTATCCTGCCTGAAGAAGCCTTTTAGAAGAAGGGTACACTGTGGTCATAAGAATGAACATGAACATCAGCAGTACTCAGGCAGGCTGTGGCATTTAAACAATGTTTAGTTAGTGACTATCCTGTACACCATTAAACCAACAACATCCAGAAACATTAATTCAGGGAAGGACTCATGCATTAATGTTCCATCCATCCATCCTTCCATTGCCTATCCTTATCAGGGTTGCAGGGGGGCTGGAGCCTGTCCCAGGGCGAAAGCCAGGGTACGTCCTGGACAGATCATACAGTGGTGCAGTGGTTAGCACTGTTCCCTCACAGCAAGAAGGTCCTGTTGTTTATCCCAGATTCTGCCCTTGCCACCGGAATTTTGCATGAGAAATGGAAACTCATTAGACTAGACAACATTTTTCCCATGTTCAATTTTGGACCTTGACTAGTCCTTGCAAATTGTAGCTTGACATCAACAAGACATTTTCATCCATGAAACTGCTGTTCACTGGATATTTTCTCTTTTTTGGTCTATTCTCTGTAAACTGTAGAGATGGTTATGTGATTAAATCCCAGCAAATCAGCAGTTTTTGAAATACTCAGACCAGCTTGTTGGCCTGGTTGGCCTAGTTGTTGGCACAAGTTGGTGCCAACAACTAGGCCATGCTCAGAGTCGCTTAAATCACATTTCTTCACCATTGTGATGCTGAGTTTGATCTTCAGCAGGTTGTCTCGACCATTTCTGCCTGAACTCAATGAGTTGGTGCCATGTGATTGGCTGATTAGCTGTTTGGTCATTAAAATTAATATCATCTAAGGTGCATGAGAAAGTGGCTGGTTAGCATTTCTACTTTATATGTTTTAGCATGATTTGTGTGCCTTGCTTAGATGAACCAGCAGCCAGTGAAAAGACTGTATTGCACATCGAAGAGGAAACAGATGACGACTTGTTGGCCAGCACACCTACAACACACACCACCGAAGACCTCTTCACTATTATACACAGGTTTGAGCACGCACACACACACAGACACAACCAAGGCATATTTTAAACAATGAGATCGGTACAAACTGTGATATTAGAGCACATAGTTTCCTCGGATGGCAGTTAAAGGTTAAGAAGTGCTTCACAGTTTAGTCTGTTTTGACAGGACAGCACAAATGCTTTAAGCCATCACCAAACCTCCCTGGAAGCTTTTTATAACCTGGAGCATGTGACAAAATACGCATTGTCTTGTTGAAAAGGTGTGAGACAAATGGAGTATAAGGTTCCCTAGCAACAGTTACATGTAAAGTGGGTTTGCTGCACGACCGCTGGCTCTCATTTCGTCCTTTTTTTTTCCCTTCCAGCGTCCCTCTCTCTCTCACACATGCACGTACGTGGATATGAGTACACACAGAAACTGACAAGAAATCTAGTCACTAAGCAACAAGTGTTCGTGATTTTTACCTTGCGTGATGCTGAAAATAGCTTAAAAGGCTCTGAAGAATAAGTGAGGATGGGGAAATGGAAGATCAGTAATCAGTGTTTTCATCTACAAGAAAGAATGGAGTCCCTTCTGTAGTTACAAATTTTAGTTTTTCTATTCTCGAGAAACAAATGTCAACTAAAGTGTGACTCATCACACACGAGTAGTAAACCTGATGAAGTGAAACAGCTGCACACACAGTTTTGGCTGATAATCTTCTCTCTCTCCTCCAGGTCCAAACGAAAGGTCCTGGGTCGCAAAGAACCTTCCGACTCGTTTGGCAGTCGCCAGAGCTTGGTGTCACCGGTGAAGCACAGCACCAGCGGTAGCGACCTCAGAAATCTAACCTTGGGCAGCAGCCAGAGGTCGAGCTCCCGCAACGAGAACTTCATGGCCCTCCTTCAGAAGAAAGGCAACAAGTCTTCCAGTGGAGGAACCAGAGTCTCTGCCATGGAGCTTCTAAAAAGCACAAACCCCCTGGCCCGACGTGTCACGGAGTTTTCAGCCAACATGGCATCGAATGCCGAGGGAGGAGAGACAACGGCTGGGAACGACAAACCCAGCGATCAGTGAATGGAAGCGTCTACGCAGATGTAAACCAGGTCTGTTTGCTGTCGACAAAGCTACCAACCATTTCCATGGCCTGCCACCCTATGGGGGACGGGGCCATCTGACAAACATGTCCAACCAGATTGCTCCAACTACTGGTTGACCATTTGCACTGTCCAATCAAATTGGAGCACACCTTTGGACAAAATGGTCCCTCCCACGGTTGGAGCACTGTTGGTCCGAGTCAAACCAGCCCCTCTAGGAAAGCAAGACATCAATGGAGAGAAAAGTAGGTTCTCACAATATATTTAATGAAAGTGGAGGTTTTGAGGTCATGCTTCTAAACTGCACTGCACTATCTTTTCCTCATTGGGAATTTGTTCAGTGTGGAGGCTAGTTGGGTGGAGCAGACACTGGGAATGTAAAGATACACAGCAGGTATCTTTACTCCCGGGCTTCTTCCAGATGAATACAACAAAAAAAAACCCTGATGACTACGGGGGAGTGTATCTGAACCTGTGACCATATTAATCCCAACCCCTAAAGAGGAATCCGATCAATCCACAAAACAAATGGAATAAAAACACTGAAAATACAAGACTTTAACACAATTTACCCTCGATTCTACCAAACCCCTTGGGCTAGCAGCATTACAGGTCCATCACCTGTGGACCACTGACAAAGGAAATATTCCCAAACCTTGGACCTTGTGGTTCCGTCTTCTCTCCACGGTGAATGCGACACCACAGCAGCCCTCTCAGCTCCAGACAGACAGGATTACATAAAAGAGCAGGATTTACAAAGAGAAACCACAAGGCGGGGGCACGCTTTTTGCCACCAAAGATGAGGCATGAGCATACCACACGTGTTATCGCTCGTGCTGTGAACACGAACACGGACCTTCACAAAGCATTCCACAAAGGCGCTCGGCAAACGGACCACATTTTTGGAACATAAGCACTTTTTCCCCCCTTACTGGTGTCGCAGGTCGTTTACACGGCGCAAACGCTGCGCCGCTACCTTTTTCCTCATCTGTTACTATCTTTTCACTCTTTCTTTGGATTCTTTTTTTTTTCTTTTTGCATATATTTTTTCTTAAACGTACCCAGTGGCCATATACTGTACATGTTAAACTGGATCATACTGTAATGTATCATGTACAAAGATAAATGTAACGCATCTATCAACAACTATCATCCGCAGAAACAAAGACTATAAATAGTGTACAAAGCAGCAAGAAGATTGGACTACAAACTGCCCACGCAGTGAGGGGAATACACACACTCAAACACACACACACACACACACACGCAAAGACTGCCAAGCAAAATGTTACTGAAGACAAACAAACAAAACATGGAGAAAAAAAGAAGACCAATTTACACACAAGTGTGTGTGTGTTCATACAAAGAGTGTGAGGAGGATATCATGCCTGTGGAGTTTCTGTACGGAGAGCATGAAGCAGGCCTGCTTATTAAACAGGGTTTTTATTCATTTTGGTCTCTGGTGTTGGGACCAAAGGACTGTTAAACACTACAAACAGACCAGAGGGGACCTAAAGGTGTGTGTGTGTGTGTGTGTGTGTGTGTGTGTGTGTGTGTGTGTGCAAAAGAGGAAAGTGCCAAGAACAAAGCAAGGGGAGGGAAAAGACAGACGGGGTGAGTGCATGCATGTGTGCATTTGCAGTTTTTGTGTC